GTGCCCGGGGGTGGGGGGCGCCGTCCTCGGCCCTGAGGTCCCGGGTCCTCGAGCCAGGCCGGCACCGCCCTCCTAGCCGGTGCCGCTGTCCGAGCCCCACCTCCGGGCGCTCGGGGTGCCCGATCACGGATCTAGCGGATCCGCGGGGTCCCCCACCCCCATCCCCGGGGCCGCCCCTCCCCCTCCCCCTCTCCAGCCTCAGTTTCCGTAGGCTGTTCTGGCGAATCCTTGTCCGCTTCTCTCCCCCCTCCCCCAGGGCGCGCCAGGCTCCACCGGGTCGTCGTCCTTCGGGGCGCGCGACCCCTCCCCACCCCCGATTCCCTCTCCAGGTCGGCTTTGTGCCCCTCCAAGCCCGGCCTGTGGCGCCCCCGCGGCACCATGATCTCCGGCAAGGAGAAGAATAAACCCCCGAAGGACAGCATGACGCTCCTGCCTTGCTTCTACTTCGTGGAGGTGAGTGGGGGGCGGCCGGGGGGTCTCCGTCCTCCTTCCTCTCCCCCCACGCCAGGGTCCGGGACCCAGGGGCGGACACGGCTGTCCCAGAATGCCCGGGGCCGGCCGAACCTTGGGCACCTGGGGTTGGAGTGGGGGATTGGATGGGGCCGGTCAAAGGCGGGAGGCTCTGCAGCTGAATAGGAGTGCTGGAGGTGCGGAAGGGCGGTCTGGGCTGGAAGAACCGAAGGATGTGGGCACAGACTGAAGGTGGGGGGGCGGCCAGGGAGGGACACAGGTCAGTAGCTGGCTTGGTGAGGCCGGGGCTCCAGTGGGGAGGTCAGAGGGAGTGGCTGGGTGCTGTGCACGGTTCTCCTGGAGCCCTGGGTTGTGAGGTTAGAGGTGGACGTGAATGCTAGTTGCCAGTACCTGGGCATCGTGCTCTTGTTCCTCAAAGTGGACCGTCAGGAATTGGTATTTAGAGGACTCTAGAGCCTCAGCTACAGGGTGGAGGCTTTGAGAACGTTCTAAAAAATGGAAGACAATGAATGCAGATACCTGGTGCATACTAATGGCTCAGGATGGTATTTGTTCATCTTTGGATGACATGCTAGGAAAGCCTGGCTCCAATGAGAAGTAGCTAAGGGCAGAATCTGAAGCCCTGGGGGCCTGGCACAGTGGATTTTTGCCTAGCAGCCAGTGTCACCATGACCTGCATCGCTTTGTAGAAAATCGGGTTTTTCAAGATGGCATTTATGCCCCTATGACAATAGATTACCCATCTCCAAATCAAGGTGGAGGCAGCTGGTACCTCCGCCCAGTACCTCTGCTGCCATTGATCTCTCTCTCTCTCTCTCTCTCTCTCTCACACACACACAGAGACACACACACATCCCTCCCCCCTACTGACTACTAAAGTTTGAACTCAGGGCCTCAAGCTTTGCTATTTGAGCCATACCCTGGCCCTTTTTCTTTCTTTCTTTCTTTTTTTTTGTCGGTCGTGGGGCTTGAACTCTGGGCCTGGGCGCTGTCCCTCAGCTCTTCAGCTCAAGGCAAGTGCTCTACCACTTGAGCTACAGCGCCACTTCTGGCTTTTTTCTTTTTGCTTATGTGGTGCTGAGGAATTGAACCCAGCTCTTCAGCTCAAGGCAAGTGCTCTACCACTTGAGCTACAGCGCCACTTCCGGTTTTCTGGTGGTTTATTGGAGATAGGAGTCTCACAGTCTTTCCTATGTGGGCTGGCTTTGAAACGCGATCTTCATATTTCAGCCTCCTGAGTAGCTAGGATTACAGGCATGAACCACCAGCGCCCAGCCTTTTTCTTTCTTATTTTTTATTTTTATTTTTTTGTAGGTCATGGGGCTTGAACTCTGGGCCTGAACCTTGTCTCTGAGCTCTTCAGCTCAGGGCAAGTGCTCTACCACTTGAGCCACAGTGTCACTTCTGGTTTTCTGGTGGTTCATTGGAGATAAGAGTCTCACGGATTTTCCTGCCCTGGCTGACTTTGAACTGTGATCCTCAGATCTCAGCCTCCTGAGTAATTAGGATTACAGGTGTGAGCCACCAGTACCCAGCTGATCCCCCCCCCCTTTTTTTTTTTGTCCTTCCAGAAATTGCTTTACTTTTTTTTTTTTTTGCCAGTCAGTCCTTGGGCATGAACTCAGGGCCTGGGCACTGTTCCTGAACTTCTTTTGCTCAAGACTAGTGCTCTATCACTTAAGCCACGGGGTGCCACTTCCTTGATGATTATTTTGGAGAAGGATTCTCCTCTGCATCTCAGCCTTTTGAGTGCCTAGGATTACAGATGTGACCCACCTGTGCCCAGCCAAGGCCTTTTTTCCCCAGCTGAGACTTTGGCTTAACATCCCATACAAGGCAACTAGCTGTTTTCTTTTCTTTTTGGGTCTGGTCGTGGGGCCTGAACTCTGGGCCTGGGCGCTGTCCCTCAGCTCTTTAGCTCAAGGCTAACGCTCTACCACTTGAGCCACAGCGCCACTTCTGGCTTTTTTCTTTTTGCTTATGTGGTGCTGAGGAATTGAACCCAGGGCCTCAGGTATGCAAGGCAAGCGCTCTACCACTGAGCCACCTTCCCGGCCCCCAACTAGCTGTTTTCTATGCTGTGTCGTACTCATCCATCCCCAGCTGGTAGACAAGCAGATTGGCCTTTCAGGAATTTCCTCTGGTTGTCCCTTACCATCCATCCAGCTGTGAGCTTAGCGTTGGATAATCTTGGCAAGCAGGACTTATAAAGAGCATGCAGTTACTTTGGGAAACACCCCCGACATCTTCCCGTGGAGGAGGCTGTAGCGTTTTGCACAGCAGGGCAACTGTTTACCCACATTCGCACTCGGCACCATGTGTGAGCAGTGTTTTGGATTTGGACCAATGTGTGGGCTGAAAAACTGAATGGCAATTCTAATTTGAATTTGTCTTATGATGGGTACATATACGCCTGCACTTGGAATGAGAATGTCTTTATGGGAACAAACCCATTACAAGTGAAAATATCATATGGTGAAATTGTTAGTACACTGTACTGCCAAGCACAGTGGCTCATGCCTATAGTCTCAGATACTCAGAGGGCTGAGATCTAAGGATCACAGTTTGAAGCCAGCTTGAGTAGGAAAGTCTGTGAGACTCTTATTTCCAATTAACTGACAAAAAAAAAAGCCAGAAGTGGAGCTGTGGCTCAAGTAGTAGAGTGCCAACCCTTAGACAAAAAGCTCAGAGACAGCGTGCTAGTTCAAGCCCCTGTACTGGCACCAAAAAAAAAAAAAAAAGGGACTTGGGGCGGAGGCTCAAGTATTAGAGAGATTTTAATGCCCTGAGTTCAAATTCCAGCAACTGCCAAAAAATAGAAATAATGAAATACACCAAAGCTACCCATTCTAGCTATCAGTTCACATAACTGAACTCAGGTCATTCACTTAGCTTACGGTAGGGCAAGTTGGCTTGCACAAGCTAATTTTATTTATGTATTTATTTATTATTGTTCATTGTGGGGGCTAGCACTCTACCACTTTGAGCCACAGCGCCACTTCTGGCTTTTTCTGTGTAGGTGGTACTGAGGAATCGAACCCAGGGCTTCATGCATGCTAGGCAAGCACTCTGCCACTAAGTCACCTTCTCAGCCTTGGCTTTGAACCTTGATCCTCAGTTCTCAGTCTTCTGAGTAGCTGGCATGAGCCACAGCACCTGACTCCTGAGACGTTAATAACCAGTGCAGGGCCAGCTTTCCAGTGCTTGTGTCCCCCCTGCAGAAGGGGACACTGATGTCAGCTTTGGACAGTGATGGAGCACTCAAGAATGTCACCTGTTTTTTTTTTTTTTT